AAGAGCAGTCACAAAAACATGCTACAATGCGAAAAGTATTAAGTAATGCTGAACGCCAAAAACGATTTCGTGCTAAAAAAGGAGCATAAAGTAATAGATCAACTCAAAGTCGCTTTCATCAACCACGAACTAGTGCTGAACGTCAAAGATTATACAAAGCAAATAAGAAATTACTACTAAAAAATACAGAAACTGAAGAAGAAGAGTTTACACAAACCCAAGAAGAGCAATATGCACAACATCTCGTTAAAGAATGTTTAATGTTGCAAATAAAAAAGATATTTTACATTCAAAAGGAAATGAAATTAAATTTTACCTATTCCTGATCCAATTATAAACTATTAGACTAAAAAGAATATTAAAATTGTAAAATAAAATTATTATTGCCATCATGCATTAAACAAGTTCAATATTTTATGGTTGCTATTAATTTATGAAGTTATCACTTCTGTCGAGCGTCCCGTGACGCACACCATTTTTTTTATAAAACATTGGGGAAATTGGCCCGTTTGAGCCGCTTAAGAAGCGCATTATCACCGCTAGCTAATACCACGTAATACCTACATTCGAATTGCTTTATTTTGAAACTATGTAAAGCTCTTCTATTTTGGGCCAAAACAACTGAAACTGCGTAGTCGGCATTCAGCTCCGCCGTTATGTCGAAAATCCCATAATTCTTTGGAAAACCCAATGCAAATATTCGGGCATTTCAAACAAATACCCGACTGAGCAAATACGCCCAGTAGTTATTCGAAACAATGCAAAATAAGTCCGATCTCTACAAAATTCTAAAATACTTTCTGTGCATAGTTGTTGAAAGCTCGACGAACAATGCGTATAAGACTCTTAAATTCACGTTCAACATACTCGACTGGATTTGGTTCAAAAACCGTTTCGGAGCGTCGAGTTCCCATTTTCGCATTTTCAAAACATTATCCTTCATTATATTATTTGCAGGTTCACTGCATAGGTAGAACATGTTATTTGTTTAAATGTTTGCAAGTGGGCACTTTAGTTGGAAATGTAAAATTCGGCCGATTTTGTGCTTAATCCAAAGCCGACTACAGTGGGCACTTCCAAATGGAAAATTAATTTTAACAAAATTTACTTTATCAAAAGAGATAGACTTTCGAACAGTGTAAGCGTTCAAGCAAACCACTTCTGAAGATGCAAGCCACTCGTGCTTGCGAAACGTCAGGAAGAAATTCTACCGAACGACGGCCTAAA